ACTGGACGCCTATTGTGTTGGCTGTTGTCATTTATTTTATTTGACCGTCGGAGGGAAAAGAGGTCAGTGCCCTTGACCAAATAGGTATTGCATGTTTTAAAGTTTCTTGCTGCAGTTGAAAATTCTCGCAGCGGCTGAAAATCGCCGCTGTATAGTATTCAACTGTGTGAACAAACCACCCGGTAGTGGAACTTGCACAGTGGAAAAGCAAACCACCCCTACTGTGTTCAGCAAAGCACACGGCCTGCTCACCGTCCTGTGCGGATGGCATTTGGATCGCTTCAGGGTGGTGCTGCAGATGTCCGCGGGCAGGTGAGCAGTGGCCACCAGCACTCCCGTGGGAACGCACACTGCAGAAGCCTCTGAAAGGGTCTTCCTGGCCCGGCCTTTGCCCTTTCTAGTCGCTGCCACATAAAAGCCACAGTCATCCTTTAGGAACATAAATTGGATCTCACCCCATTGCTCAACAATACCAATGGCTTCCCTCTGTGCTAAGATTAAAATCCAAAGTCCTCACCTAGGCCCACAAGGCCCTGCGGGCTCTGGCCCCTGTCTGCCTCTTCCTCACTCCTGCCCTGTCTGCTTCCTCTCCCGGCCATCCCTCCCTTCGTCCACCCCCTCAATCTGTCCACCCATTCAGTTTTGGGTGCCTGCAGTGTGCCTAGCTTACTCTGACCTCAGGACATTGACTCTTGCTGTTCCCTCTGCCAGAAACACTCTTCCCCCAAATCATCACCTACCTCCCTTTCCCCTTTTATTTAGGTCTTTGTTCAAATGTTATCTCTTCGAAGAAGGATTCTAAAGTGCCCCCCCACGCCCCCCCCTTTCTCCCCCACATTCTTTCTCTTGGTAGCACTGATCACTACCTGAACTTCTAGTGTGTGTTTGCTGCGTGTCTTCCTCTTGGCAGACGTGTTCATGGGGTTTTCTCATGGTTCTCTGCTGCGACCCACTGCCTGGAGCAGTGCTGTGCAGGGCAGGTACTCGGAATATTTGTATCAAACACGCTGGCAGGGGAGCTGGTCAGACACGCCTCAGCTGGACACCAGCATCATCTCCCGGCGTCTCATGGGCGCGCGCTCCACCTGGTACTCCTCACACGGGTCTCCTGGGATCCTGTGGCTGCAGACTTGGATCAGGAGGTTTGGGAGGGACCTGGGCTTCGAGTAGCAAGGCCTTAGCCCTCTGAGCCTGTTTCCACACCTGTAAAATGGTTCGTTGTGCAAAACGAGGGGTAAGGCGCATACGTGCACGGCGCCAGGACTTGGTGCTTGGTAAGTTTCTCTTGCCCCTCCTCTGAGCACCTTTCAGGGTCTGAAGCTGGAAGTTGCCTTGGGTTTTCTCCCTCTGGTCCTCCTGTCCCCACAAGTTTATCCCCAGATGGACCCTCAGGGGAGCCTTGTCCATTTCATTTCTCCATTGCTAGCCAGCCCTGCCTGTCATAGGCCGGGGTTTGGGGAGGATTCTGGCATTTTGGCAGTCATGGGGATGTATGCAAATGAGATGCAAAGCAGCAGCTAATGGCCTTGATTGCATTTGTGCTGGGAACGCTGGGATAGCTGCCTGGCTGGGGTGTGGGGCAGTGACTGCTCTTGGGGTTGGGTGAGGGGCAGTGACAGAAGGTGTCGGCTTCTCCCGGGGGCACGAGGGCAGCTGCTTGGGGGCCTGGGGGAGACCACATGTGTAGTCTGATCCCTCCTGTGGAGTGGAACACGTTAAGTCCAGCAGTAGGGGCTGAGTTTGGGGACGGGGTGTGGTGGGGGGAATATCTCTGGGCCTGCTGGGGCCTGCAATTGGGAGAGTAGAGGGCTGCAGACAGGTGACTTGGAGGCCCCTCCCAACAGCAGATGGGGCTGGATCAGGCTGACAGTGGGG